TTCCCATCACATCATCATAACTTACAGTATATAAATGGGACCGCAAAGTACAACAGTTCGAGAACCGTTTGAAACTTTTGGATAATTAAATTAATTATGTTTGACATTAATTTAGTAGCTATCAGGAGACGTTTATTAATTATTAGTTATTATTTAAATAGTGTCAAAAAAGACCTGAGTAGGATTTTAACTTTTTATTTTACCTTTCTGCTACCGAACAGTATCATCATTTTCCATTTCTTTTCCCAAAATTTAACATTGCAATGAATTTTGCCCGGCTTCTTTGATGGCTGATCGAATGCTTGACGCCAACTTTATTTGCTAATGTAATCGTTTTTACCGAATAGAGGAAGACGGTGAATTAAATTCAGGAAAAATAAGAGGGTGAGTGAGCTAGAGAGTAAGGAATACCACAAATCTTGGACATATCCACAAATATTATAAATGAAAAGTGTGTCTATCTGTTGCCTCTTCAAGCTGGACATAGCTACATGAAATTTGGTATAGACATAGTTTGAGGCCCGGGAGAGGACATGGGATAGTTTTTATGCCAGAAATTATCCTTTAAGTTGGTGAAAAGGGAGTTGGAAGTTTTTTTTATGGGGAATCAATAACCGCTAAACCCATTGGGATGGTATTTACTATGAAGATAGTTTCAGTTGTGGCAAAGGACATAGGCCACTTTTTATCGAGATAAATCATTAATTAAAATAATTTTTATTTTATTTGTTTAGATCATAGATGGCCGGTTGGTCGAATTTCGGGCGTTTTGAACATGTTGTTTTATTTCATTCACCAGTATAACTTGAATCCCTCGGGGGTGCAGTAGCAGCGTATACGACTGCTGTGCTGAGGTCTTTGGTTTGATTCCAGGTCCGACCAAATGTTTGTACGCAAATATTTGTTTCGAAGTTTGGGTATTTTCTATGTATAGTATGTATGTATTTACGAAAAATAAGTATATAAGTATTCTCCAAGTCAATCTAGCTTTTATAGTACAAGCTCTGCTTAGTTTTGAACTTTTGTACTAAAATAGACACAATAAATCATCGTGCTCATTACACAATTGTTTGTCCCGAGTGGGAATCCAACCCACGACCTCTGACTTAGCAATCAGGCTAACTAATCAATAGACCAACAGGCGTTTTATAATAGACCTCTAAAGTAACTTCATAAAACATTTTTTATTTAATTTAAGTTTTCTGCATCTGTTTTTAATGTAAACATTACTTTACATTACATTAATGTAAACATGTAAACTCCTTGATTGTTTTAACCTTATTTAAAAAGGCTCCATTTTAGCAGTCTGATTAATAAGCCTTGTAAACCAGCTACCATTGTAAAGATTACAAAGGATTTTCATCTACGAAAATTAGTGTCTTAGGTTCAAGAGGTGTATTTTCGAACTACAATAACTTTTGTTCTACTCCCCTACGTAAAGAATGTAGGCCGAAACATTTTCTTTTTTACTTAAGAAAAATGCCCACAATGTGCGGCGCAACTCCAATTAAAATGAAAGTATTTTTCTTTTTTTGCAGGAAATTATTTTGGGAATTCATGTCCTGTATTTTGGTTCATTAATTTTGTTGTTTGAAGTCATCGAAGTCAGTCAAACTACGAAGGACGACGGTACTGAAAAGAGAAGGAAAACTTAAAATTAAACCCTTTTTTTTTTTTAACGTGTGGAAATCCCCTCGGACCGTCACCCCACCGGGGTTTGCGGCGGGGTGGTGTGTCGGACTCGGACCGACTAAAACCACACGGTGTGCCACTCTGCGCCTGTAATAGGAGGGATCCGGGAACAGCTTTTATTAAGACATCCGGACCCCTCCTAGCGCCTGCCCGCTCCTGGTGCGGGCTCCATCTCATGTCCGTCCGTCAATGTTGTGGTGATGAGCGTTTATTAAACACTAAAAATCAATGTATAAAGTAAAACCTTATAAACTACGATTTCGCTGACTTAGAGAGTTCGTACAAATACCTTGGTCTAAGAATGAATACCTAACTAACATAGCTAACATGGAACCAACAAACAGGCTACATTTAACATTAAATGTCTTTATTGATCTGTTCACTTCACAATATTAGTAATTGTACACCTAAAAAAATCAGTTTTACCAAATCACATTTACTAAATCTTATAGAAATCTAGGGCAACGCTGGTAAAACGCTATTACAAGAATTACAGAGCAAACAAAATAGAATCATTATAAATACTGTTCGGCTATGAATACTATAGACTAACACGCAAAACGTTTGAGGAAACAAAACTGATGAATATCAAACAACTTTATATGTATTATACTTGTATATTAGAAAATTTATATTTAGATAAAACTATTCAATCTAACGTTGTTACATTTAAAAAAGTCTCTTGTCAGTAAGCGTAGTCTTCGTCGTCTAAGTCTTTTTTTATGGCATAAGGGAGCAAACGAGCAGACGCGTCATCTGATGGTAAGTAACTGCCGCCGCTCATGGACACCTGCACCTCAAAAGTCACAAGTGCGTTGCCGCCCTTGGAGTTGACTCGAGCGGGAGGAGGGGATTTGGCATTTTGGAGGAGCACAACTGTTTAACAATTTGCCATTTGTACGCGTTTAGCGTTTTTAAATCTCGTCTCCCCATTCATATATTAGAAAATTACTCTCAATAATTAGTTTAATCTATAATGATATTGGCTTGATGTGAAATCGCTGAACATGTAACCATAACATGAATTTTAAACAATAAATACCTAACACTATTTCGGTGACCATTACAATAATCATCAACAGTCCACTGCTGGACATAAGCCTCTCCTTAGAAAGGAGGTTTTGGCCTACTATACCACGCTGGCCAGACGGGTTGGTATAGGGTTTGTGTCAAGTTTTCCTTCTCTCTGCAGTGCTGGTGTTTTGCGTTGTTTTGCACCCTTAGTCGGCTCTTACGACACCCACGGGATAAATTGGGGTAGTGACATTTCGTATTCTTAATCCGTCACTACACGGACAGACAACTGATATAAATACTTTTTTTTTTGGTAAATACATACACATTATACATAGAAACACATAGACATTAAATGTTTACACATTAAATAATTAAATGTGCATGCACACAAATGTTCGATTAACCGGGAATCGAACTATATATGGCTACTATCTGCCAACTGTCACACAGATGTTTTAAAAAGGTCAAAATAGCTGCGAGTTACTTAGAAACTTATTACTTTCAGTTCTAAAACAATGGAATGACTTTTAGTTTACTGGATGAAACTTTTAAAATACTTTTCTTACTTTACTGTGTTGTGTTAAAGAAATAAAAGTTAAGTAATAATGTCTGCAATATGACTAATTTGTTCTATACTTTACTAAACATATTTCTGAATACATACATATAATTAATACATTACACCCAGACATATAACAAATGATCGTGCTTATCACACAATAATTTGTCCTGGGTGGGAATCGAACCCCTTTGGCTTAGCAGTCAGGGTCACTAACCACTAGACCAAAAGAACAGTCAAATAATGGGGAATATGTTATTTTGTTATAGTCAAGTAGGTTTTCAATATTCTATATATTTTTGGTAATGTACTGGGTACTCTATCAGACAGGTCTCTTGATGGAAAGTGACTAACGCAGCCAATAAACGCCTGCAGCTTAGGAATCACGAGTTCCTTACCGGTCCTTGAGGAGGGAGTACTCTTTTTTCTTAAAGGTTTGTAGGTCGTATCGGTAATCTATAGCGGTCGTATATGAGAAATTTCCCAAAGCTACAGCGACTGCAACCTGGTCTAAACGTCACACAATACTATGGTAAACCTATCACGTGATTCCCATCTACCAACATAATTATAAAATAAAAGTTTAATATTAAGAATATTTAACCAACTTCATAAAAAGAAGGAGGGCGATAAAGTTAGTTGGGGGAATATTTTTGAAATTGTAAATTATTCAAACTGGTCTAGTAGAAACCAGAAGCGATAGTTGAACAAACAAAAAATATTTTAGTTTTATATATATATATATATATATATATATATATATATATATATATTACAAACTTAATAAATCCATGAAAATCATTTTTATGGATTTAAATAAATTATAAATATACAACAAAGTTTTCATTTGAAACAGGTTTTTTTAACCAGAAATGATTATTTTATTACGACAAGTAGTTAATATGTGTTGATAACACATATTAACTGCATTTGTCCTACTTTAAATCTTATTATGTGTAGATATTTACGGACTCAATCTAAAAATAAGCGTTAGCTCGTAAGACTTCTAAATCTCTGGATATTACACGGATATTTATAATGCTTTATATTATGTTTGTATTTTGAAATTTAATATCTGTGTTGTCTTCTTTGACGAGGATGATAAACGGACATTGTCTCCGGCGGTGTCTATTCAATATGCATTATGTTAAACAGCTGCCACGCTCCATTGTTTACGGAAAAGCGCCACTCTGTTAAATAAGATTTATTGCAATACGAAGGCACTAGGTATACTCGACCGCGATCACTTTGACGTATGCCGACATTAATGCCGAGTTTGATTCACTGAAAGAGCTACCGGATACCCTTTGTCGTTCGACGAGATTGCGGTTCGGCTCGTGTTGTGTCGTATTCAAAAGTACAACTGCGTCCGTAACGTAGTTTAGCGAGTTCACGTCATGCGTTCACGTTTTATTTTTACCTCAAAAGTAAACTCAACCGTTCTTGTATCTTGATTTATATTGGCCTCATAAACGTTGCCCAAAATGATTCACGATGACACAAAAATATATTTATGAACACTTTCAACCCATTTTCCCCCCTAAAACAGACGCACCAACTAAATGTTCTTCCGCATCGGATTTTACACGGAATTTCTCCAACTGTGCACTTAAAACTCATCGCAAAAAGACACGCAGGCCGTTTGCCAACTTTTCCGTTTCGAAGTCGAATTAAAAAAAGATGTTACACTAACTTTCGAGTAAATATAGCCATGGGTGAACGAACGTGGCGTCTAGCACTGACCTCCTTTCTGTGTGATGTTGAACGTGCGGAGCCTGTAGGAGTCTTCATCAGGTTCTTCGGCTTCTTGCTGGTGTGTGTTGCGTGGGACGTCTAAGAAGGCGTTAGACCGACGAGGCTGGTTGTGCTGGCCAGGAGGTGGCCGGCGCCTCGCTGAAGCCTGCCGACGCACTTGTGGTGGAGTCTCAGCTTCGGCAAGGCGAGGCTCCGAACTGTACCGAGCCCTGGTCTCCCTATCCAACTGCTGCTGCTGTTGTTGACGGCGGTGTCTCACAGACCGTCCGCCGGTTATCCGGGCGGATTGGGAACGCGCGGCCGGCCGGCGCCGAGGGGCCGGCGTGGTCTCCATTGGAGCCGCGAGGGCTTCCATACTCGCGGAAGCGGGAGCGCATATCGACTGCGAGCGCTTCGTACGTCCGTCCGTAGCCATAGTCGCGACGTTACTGAAGCTCTGAGTGGCCGCCCGCCCCGCGCCTCTGGGCGGGCGGTTACTTGTTGCATTGGGTTACGGCTTTAAAGCTCTTAAACGGTACTAATTTGTGTGGTGTTCTTTTATTAATTGTAGTTTAATCTGACGCTTGTGTAATTAATGAAGTTGGTGTGTCTGTATGCGGTTGTATGCTAAACATGGTTTCACATGCAAACTTTATTCAGTTAGCAACTTTACAGATCAGTGAGCTGTGTTCGTTGGGCCACTAAACTGGCCTATATTTATAGATCTAAACTTGGATGTAATAGTTTTCTTTTGATTAAAAATAAAACGGATTACCGATAATAGAGTTTACAACGTCGTAAAAAACCATTGAAATTTGCTAATAAAGTGATTAGAATTGCCCCAGAATCATCTGGTTAGTATCATATTGTTTATTTTACTTACTTATTGAAGCCAATTTATGTTCTCTACTTGAAAAAAATCGCAACATCAAAGAATACGAGTATGTCTTAAAAGACGTAGGTGTATCTACATTGTATCAGTATCTTAAAATATTTTGCTGTGTTAGATTTGAGTAATACATATTTACCTATTGAATTAGTTATAATTTCTAGACAACCAAGTTTTCATAAACACCAGCTGTTTTGAGGGCCGCAGTGGCTAAAACTGAGATTTTTTTTATAATTAAACTAGGTCACAACAATGCTAATTATAAAAATACTAAAACGGTTGAAGGCGGTAATTAAATAAATAGTGTTTTTAGTTCTTTGTAATTAAAAAAAAGAACGTGTCTATGAAAGCCATGGCTTCAGAGTATTTATGTAGGATTGGTCAAGAGGTTAATGTTAAAAGTTTATCTCTCAGGGATCTGCTTAGTTTGAAACTAGATGGCGTTGTGTGTTAGTTGTCCGAAATATTATTATTATATTATATTTTTCGATGACTTTGGACAAGAGATAGGATTGTATACCTATATATGGTAGGATAGAAAATAAAATATTCAAAACTGTCTAAATTTTGAGTCTTGATATTATTTTGATTTTTGTAGTGAAAGTAAATAATTGTAATCGCGATTCACAATTTTCATGTTGATTTTATTAAAAATAAAATATTTTTATGTGTGCAGAACATTTTGAGTTTTTGAAGCGTACGCAAGCCAACTTAACATTTATAATATAATGTAGATTAGTATTATATACAAAAATGGTTACTTTAAGGTACTTAATATGGGTCACCATCATATTTACTGACTGGTCGCCACGCCGCTTCCTACTGCGCCGAGTGCTGTGGGTTCAAACCCCACATGCGACAACACTTTGTGTGATCCACAAATTGTTGTTCTGAGTCTGGGTGTTCTCATGTATGTTTGTAAAGTCCCCCGCGACACAGGATTGATATTCTTTAAAAAAAAACAATTACTGAAGTCCATCTTTGGTATAAAATGTCCACTGCTTAATAATAATAATAACCACTCCTAAGTACTGGCCCAAAAAGTAGTCGCGCCGCCCCTTTATCCAACAACCCTCTTTTACTTAAAACATGTGTGTCGTTTCCTCGAGGGAGACTTTGAAATTGTTTTTAATTGAGTTCATTATTACCACTTCCAAATTACTTACTAACTACCTCTGTAAATATAATATTTTAGAGATTAATATTAACCTACTCCTAAAATTGTCGTATTTGGATTTTTTATGGTATTTTGTGTTAAATAATAATAATAAGATGACCCGGGTTTGATTCCTGGGTAGAACCAAATGTTTGTATGATCTGAAAATATTTGTTTCGGAGTTTGGGTGTTTTGTATGTATAATATGTATATTGCCTGGCGTATTTTAGCTATTTTCATAGTGTAATGTCATATGGTATTTTGTTGTAGGGAAATGCTGTTGAAGTTCAAAGTATCTTTGTGTTGCAAAAGAGAGCTATTCGCGCTATCTATATATAATTTGAGTTATAGGCAGTCGCCGAGGGCTAAGTTTAAAGAAATTGGTATCATAATAGTCGCATCTCAGTACATATATGAAAATTTGGTGTATGTGAAGAAAAATATTCATTTATTCACAAAGTTTAGCGACATTCACCAAATAAACACTAGAAATATACCTATGAAATTGCCGTTTTGTATGCAATAAGTGAAAGTACTTATTTTTTTCAAACTTTTTAAGCTATTGCATAGCTTCTATCGAGGGCCTTGAGCGCGGGGACCGAATCCAGAAATTCCGTAACGAAAAAAAACCTCAGGCTAAAAACAAAACAAAAAAACAGTACCAAAATCAAATGCTGAACGTCAAAGGAAATTTCGTCAACATAATGCAGAAAAATCTTACATGGATATGTAATTTGATTTAATAATAATATTTTTTATTTATTTATTTAAAAACAAATTGTAATATATGCTTCAATATTTTTATTTAATAAAAGAAAAAAAAATTGTTTTCTTATCGGTCTCCACCACGAATTAATATCAAAGAAAAAGAAATACTGCATAAATAAAATAAATAAATAATTATAATTGCATAAGTTGATACAAAATGCTATGCAATAGCTTTACCGCGGCAGTCCCCGAGTGTCACACGTCTTTTTTATTTCTATTATTCGAAGTAATCACCCATGCAATCGACGCATCTTTGCCAACGCATTGGCAGTTTATTGATGCCCTTCTTGTAAAAATCAGCTGGACGGGAGGCAACAAACTCTTCAAAGGCATTTTGTACTTCCTCTCGGGAATTGAATTTTTTACCCACTAAAAATTTGTCTAAATTTTGGAAAAAGTAATAGTCGGTAGGTGTAAGGTCGTATTTCGTTTCTTTTAAATTTGTTTATTTGAACTTGTATTGTATAGTACATTTTTTATTTTTATATTGTAAGTATGTAAATGTGAGTATAGTGTAGGCTTATAATGTTAGTTCATGTTTAGAAACTTTCTGTTGGTTTTGAGTTTTTACTCGGCCTACTCAAATGTCCTGCTGGCGGCAGTGTGGCGCTTCGGGTCGTTGATCTTGAATAATATCGGTAAAGCTATACGATGGCTGGCGGTCGTATGCCGTCTGTATGGACAGGCCGACTCAATACTATGCCTACCCAGACCCTACACTGTACTCGCACAGTTTTCTTTAACTTTGTTTACGGACTAAAAAAAAAGACTGCTCTGTGGTTTGTTTCGGCGTTTCTTCTCAGAGTGAGTCTTAGGAAATGCCGGCTCCATCTAGCTGTAAAGTCCGACTTGTCAAAATATGTAAAAAGATTTACTTACATAAATAGATTTCATTACATTTCATTGCATATGTATTTACAAAAAAAAAAGTATACAAATATTCTATCAGTCAATCTATCTTTCACAGTACAAGCTCTGCTTAGTTTGAAACCAGATGGCGTTGTGTGTCATATGTCCGAAAATATTATCATTATTACAAGGATAATTTCCCTAAAAGTGGAAAAATACGAAACAATGTAGGCGTAATATTAATTATTTTAAAAAATAGATTCATATGTCCTTACCAAAGCTTTACTAAACCCTTATAAGATATAAATATTTTTTTTACTTTATAATATTATTATTTGAGTTGTAATTCTGAACATCAATCCTTTTTTAATTTCTCCAATTATTATTTTTATTTTTCATTTGCTAAATGAATTACAATTATTTTATACAGCTAAATTATATTTTCATATCATATATTGTTACGCTGAATTATGTTTCCTTAGCCAGTCAGTTCTGAAATGTATTAGTGTTAATAATTGTTGGTTAACCAAATAGGTAAATAAATAATCTGGTAATGTAGTCGAGGGTGTGTTGTAGAACTAATCAATGGCTACATGTGAACACCTTGATCTCAGACAATTTAAATGATGAGCCCAGGAGTCAAAGTCTTTTCACCTGACTGCTCCAGATGATGGTGATGTTTTTTGAGTGTATATAGCCTAAACGGCTTCATGAATTTTGATGTTTGAATTTATAGGGGCGTTTATAGTAGAAAAATTAAAATGACTGGTTTACAAGTTTTAAGTACACTTTCATGCTGTTTTGTTTTTTTTTTCATAATTAGTTTGTTTACTTTTGATTCAGTTCTCTTTGATGTCGTGTAGGTTTACTGAACTTTAATTTACTTCTTAGCTGCTGAAGATCTATTCAATCAGGATATATACAAACTGGTTTTAAAAACTGAATTACGACTGGGCTACCAAACGTACTCTTATATACAGAAACAAAAGGTAAAAAAAACATTTAATACTTTTAAAACTCAGAGAGAATTCTACCATATTTTATTCGCCAGTATTTGATTGTACGAATTTCTAAAGCCACAAATTGACGTAGGTTGAAATAAACTGGTACAGCTTTTGAAGTATTCACTGAGACTTTTATTGGTGCAGTGGTTATACTAGTACGATGGTTTGATTGAAATAAAGAGCACGAATAAAAGAGGCAATGTAATTGAGTTTTGTTCATTGCCGTATACCCCGTGTTATACAAAGCTGATAGCTCCGTTATTTACAATTCCAAGAGCTGTGTTCAGTTCTTTGATACTCTTTTTAGATTCTCCTGTGCCATAAAAATACTACTCGGATAAAGAATTTAGGCATTGAATCATAGACAATTGTTATAACCTGCTTACTAGAATTTACAGTAAATGTGGTAAACGACTTTGTGCAAGTTTCTTATTGCGATTAAGCGATTAAGCGATTAATTGTCTTTGCTTCAACTAGTATTAATATACGCATGCAATAGTTGAATTCTTCATGCTTACTAATGAAGACAAGACACAGACACACATGAAATGAATAAAGATAAAACAATGTAAATCATCAACAGCCTTTAATAGTCCACTGCTGGACACAGGCCTCTCCTTAGAAAGGAGGTTTTGGCCTACTATACCACGCTGGCCAGACGGGTTGGTATAGGGTTTGTGTCAAGTTTGCCTTCTCTCTGCAGTGCTGTTGTTCTGCGTAGTTTTTTCCCTTACGAAACGAAAGTAATGAATCTGCTCATATTTATATCA